AGCTCCGGGGTGGGCTGTGAAAATGCTGGAAAGTGGCTGATTGCAAAATGGAATATCTGGGAGATCAGATGGAAACTGTGGGGAGCTCACAAAGGATCAGGGGAGCAGAGAATGCAAAAGGCAGAAAAGGAAGATGAGGGAGATAGAATGAGAAGAAAAACAGCCAGGAGGCAGATCTGTGGGAAGATCCTGGAAGGGATCAGTCAGGTAGGAACCAGACAGAGGGAGAGATGAAGTGTTGGTCTGGAATGTGCAGAAAAGCGAAAAATACCGAGCACTTAGGATAATTAGCTTTTCTCTAAGTCTGTACAGCTTTATCTGCCATTCCTGTTCCCCTGGAGTTCTATCCAAGTGGGAGAGCCGAGGAGTTTGTTTGCTGGAGATTTTATTCCCTCTTTAAGGGGGATGTTGATGTTTCTGGTACATCTGCAGCTATGAAACGTTCATGGGTGATTTGGCCAAGAAGAGCTGTGCCTCCATCCCCTGTGAAGCTGTCCTGCCCTGACCCTGCTGCCAGCGTGGGATAACTCCCCGTGTGTGTCTGCAGCCCTGTCTTGCCCAATCTTGTTTCTAATGTCTCGGGAAATTGGGCTTTTATCACTTCCTTAGGCAAATTCCTTCACTGGATAACAAAGCTCACTTGGGGAAGGCTTTCTGCTCAGAGTCAGCGAGAGGCTTGCAAATGGAAAACTCTTATGTTAAACATGAATTCTGAACAGTTTATCTTATTATCCTGAGTTCTAACTCCTTCTCCAAACACCTCCTTGTTCTTTTTGCTGTTTTGGGTATCCTGCAGTGAGACCTGAATTGCAATCAAATTCATTTTTCTATCAGAACAAAGAAATTGCTCCTGATTATGGAAATAATTGTATCCATTTGGTATAGCATTGAGGTGTACCTGTGAATGATGCACTTTGAATGTTTTGTTTGCACGTTTTAACAGGACTTATTTTGCACCTTAAAGAGGGTGGGATTTCCATCTCTGCCCCACAAGAAGGTCCATCCAGGCCATGCTCACACTGGATGTGTCCATTCCTCCTCTTGGCATCCATCATTCCTGGTGCCCTGGAGCCTGGCAAGGAGGATATCCTCATTCCCAGACTTACTTTGCTCTCTCCTTTTTTCTGCACAACAGATTTATTCCCCATTCGAATTTCCAATTATTTCTGGGCTTGATGTCATCTCAGTTATCTTCTTTCTTTGAGTTATTGTCTCATCCTACAAATGCAGGTACAGCTTTTTGTAAACCTAACTGAAGTTTATTTAATCACAAAGGCTTTACAAGGCCTGACGTGTGAGATTCACTCCACACTTGTGCAATAGGGTGATAAAATCACATCTTGGCCAACTCCTCTGTGGGAAGTGTGTTTGAATACACTTTACTTGGCTTTTCACAGCCTGTTGTGACTTCTCATTAACTTAAACCCAATGTTTCTTCATGGGTTGGAACAGATAATTATCTTGCCAGTGTTAAGAAGAGTCATCATTCATCTGGAATTATTCCATGGATAAATAAAACCTTAACAGGATAATGGCTCTGTTTGCTGATCACATTTCTCAGGCTGACTCTTCTTGCAAACAAATCTCATTGTTCAAGGTGAAGCTGGGCATTGGGGAAGTTTTAAGAAGTAAGAATGAGTTTTTAATTGACTGAATTCAAAATTCAGTTGCAATATTGATGGGAGAAGAAGAAGCAGCCTCAGGCTGTGCCAGGGAAGGGCCAGGTTGGACACCAGGAGGAATTTCCTCATGGAAAGGGTGGTCAGGCACTGGAAAGGGCTGGAGTCCCCATCCCTGGAGGTTTCCAAGGAACAAGGGCTGGTGACAAGGTGGAGACTTGGAACTGATGACCTTGGAGGGCTTTTCCAACCCCGTGGTTCTGTGATCTGATGTTAGGCAGATTTTTTTCCCCCCTATTTTGAGGAGGTGGCAGGCAATGGGCAAGTCTGTGCCAGTGCCCCAAATGCTGTGAGCAAATCCCTGACTCACCCCTTCCCAGGGCTGGCTGGAACCCACCTGGAATTATCCCAGAGCCTCTCCAAGGGGAGGTGGCACCACTCTCACTTTCGTGCCCAGCAGTCCTGAGTCATCACAGGCAGAAATGGAATCCAGGGATGTCTCCTGCACCTTTTTTCTGGGATGTTTTCCTCTCCTGCACTGGGGTGGTTTGTTCCTACACGGTGGAGCTGCTCTGTGAGTTCCCTTCAATCAAATAAAGTGGTTATTATGGGCACAGTGATGCTTTGCTCTTCATTGGAACTTTAATTGAGGAATGTCAGAAAATCACCAGTCACCAGCCTGCAGAACTGCCACAAATAGGAAATTTTGGTCATCTAATGTGGTTTCTCCTGCAGCTGAGCTGAGGGGTGTCTGCTCTGTGAGATTCATGGTCATGTTTTCAAAGCCTGCTTAAGAAAACATCAATATGAACACTCTGGAGTTTTAAAAACCAAAATACTGCATGTGGTCATTGTGTTGTCAGTTCTGAGTTTTAAATAACAAATGTTGCATGTGGTCACAGTGTTGGTAGTACTTTCTGTTTAATTTTGGTGAGTGTGTGGTACCTGTTGGCAGAATTCAGTTGTTTTGTGGGCTCTTCACAGTAAAATATTTCCAGGTGAGCCAAAGTAGCCACAGAAAATCCATTGTGGAGTGCCAAACATGAGAGTGTGACTGAGGAAAGCATTGTCTGTGGGTTTGAGCTGTGGACACAGGGAGGAACCACTTTGGTCCCAGTGATGCCACCTGAGATCCCACTCTTGGAGGGGTTTTCGTCCCATTTCTTGGCCAGGAGAGCTTGGAAGGGTGAGGAGGGACAGGGAACCAAGCATCCCAACCTCTGGCACAGCCTGGCACCCACCAGCTCCTGGGCAGTGTCTGCTCACTGGTTATTTGTCACCTACCCCCATGACAGCAGTACTGGCACTGGATCTGCTTTTTTATCCCTAAACCCTGCAAATTTAAGCCATGTGGTCCCAAAAATGTGGGTTAGAGAAGGGTGATGTGGGTTAGACAAGCCCAGCTGTTAATTAAAAGCAGAGAATGAGAAGGGATGGTCCCAGTGGGCCAAAACCTCAGCTGGTGCCATCAGGTGCCACCGCTGGCTGTGGCACTGCCCAGGGCTGTCCCCAGCAGTGGCTCTGCCCTGGGCTCTGCTCCTGGGGGAGCTGTGATGGCTTCAAACCCCTTGTTTACACTGGGAATACTTGGCAGAGCACTGGATGAGCAGAGCTGCCAGGTGGGCTTTTAAGGCAGGCTTTATTTATAAAGAGGGCACGGGCTGTGGGTTTGTGTGACCTGGTGTTTACAATTCCTTGTGAGTTTTTAATGAAATAGAAGAGCTGCCAGCACATCAAATAAAGGCAGGACATCTTTGCATATCCTTGCATGCCATGTTTTGTGAGTGAAATCTGGGAATAAGCTAAAGGATGGTGTCAAAGCAAAATGGATGCACTTCAGAGCATTCCTGTTCTCTAACTCACAGATCCCAGCTCTGCCTTCCCTGGGCACCTCTGAGACCACCCAGCACTGGGGGTCCCTCCAGGGTGCAGGATTGGGCTGTGGGATGCTCATTTGCAGTGAATTTTCCATGGCTGGCACCCTGAGCACTGCTGGTTTGATTCCACCTTCCCTGTCCCACACTCAGCTGTCCAACATCGCTCTCCTCCTTCTCCAGATCAGGTTCCTCAGGGCTGGCTGGCACAGGGAATCAGGGGGTGCTCTGCTTTCCCATGCCATGGAATGTGTGTGCACGCCCCTTCTTCCCACCCTCCCACAAAGCTCTTATCAAATCTGTGCCTCCCTGGGGGATGACCCCAAAAGCCTCCCCTGATGCCTGAGCAGCCTCACAGGCTGCGAGTGGATCTGCTGGCAGAGGGAGACACTAAATCCTGGAGGAAGTTTGGATACAGGGAATGTTCTGCTTGACCTAGAGCTGAGGCAGGACATGCTGGCTTAACACCACGCTCCCTCTGATTTGCTGTTTCAAATACAAGTGCAGACTTAAATCCATAAATATATAGGCACAAGTAGTAAGTATAAGACTTAAATCCATTCAGCTTTTTCCTGAAGAGGAAGGAATTCTCCCAGCAATGAGCAGGTGCTGCTGGGGTTCAGATCTGTCCTTCCAGCCCTGTTAACTTCAGTGTATAAACCACATCCCTTCTCGTGCACATGGGTTTGCAGGATTCCAATAATTGTAAATATGAATAGATAACACCTTCAGCAGCCTCTCAGCACCGTGTTTCCCTTGGCTCTACCACTGCAGAGTTGTTCTACCTCTGTAAAACCCTTGGGGAGATTTTAGGATGGGTCAAGACCATCCCAAAGATTGGCTGTGTTTCCTCAAGTGTTAGCTTTTCTATTTTCACATTCTGTTCTGCTTTAGTGTGTGGGTCTGGGCTCACATCAGGGATGCTGAGCTCTGTGCACAGAGCAGGGAGACGAAACAATTCCTGCTCCAGCTGGGCACCAAGGACAAATGATCCCAATCTCAGCCCAGGAGCACAAACACCGTGGGCTGGAGAGAGAAAAACAAGCAGGGTGGGACTGCAGGGGCTAAAGCTGCAATGGGACAATGAACTGCAAGGTGCAAATGGAGCAGAACTGATCCCAGGGACAGAGCCCGTGCCCCTCGTGCATTTTGGGGCCATTTTGGTTCATCTTGGGTGCAGCCCTGGCTGGGCTCTGGTGCTGCCCAAGGTGGATCCATGGAGGAGATGCTTGGAATCAATCCCTGCTTTATTCTGGAACTCTGTCCAGCCTGCACAAGGCATCAGCTGTTTAATTAGCACGAGGCCTCACAGGGTTAAGCATTGCCAAACAAACCCCAGCCCTGGCCCGCTGCCTCCTCCCCCTTGGCTGCTCCTGCTGCCCAGATGGCTCAGCCTGCCAGCACACAGCATCAAATCATTTTATTCCTATGACAGCAACTTGATTCCTGATGATATAGGATCCATATATTAACAGCATCTCATGGTTTTTCTCTTTTTCCCTTCCAGGAGTGAATTCCTCGCTTGTTGCTGATTTCATGCCCACGTCCCCATGGAACATCTCAAGTGAATTAGATAAAGGTAAGCAGGCAAAAAAAACCCCAAAACCACCTGAATTCAAATTTTAAAATCTCCATTTTTCTTGACTTGACCAAATCAGCAAACAAAGGGGGTCAGGGAGTATTCAAGATAAACCTCATTTTCCTTGGGATCCTCTGATATTTAATTCCGTGTGGTTCTGTGATTTCTGGAGATTGCTGTGTTCATTCCTTGTACCAGGAAAATATTCCACAGGGCAAAAATATTTCAAGGTGCTCTGTCACACACTTTTCTGGTGGATCTTGGGATTTGAACTCAAATTTCACAATCATCAGGCACTGAGTTTGCTCTGATGTGTTCTATTACGGAATTTTGAGGCTTTAATAATACAAAATACATTTGCAGGTGGTAATTAGGTATAATTTGGAGCTCTCCAAAGGGTATATATTGTAAAAAAAATGAGAGGTTTATAATTCTCCTTAATTTTGTAAATTAAGCACTGCTAATTTAAGGCAAATTGATGAGATTCCCTCATTGCTGAGATTTCCTCATTCCCTCAGTGGCTGCAGCTCCTGGTCAAACCTATGCATCTTTGAGGATGCTCTTAGCCACCCTCACTGCAATTTGCCAACCACTTTCATTTGCCAACCATTTACTGCTGAGATGGAAATTTCCCACAGTGGGATTCTGCCCCAGATGGTTTTCCCAACTGTTTTTGTCTGTTTTGTTACTGTTTTTTTTGAACATGTGCTCATAATATTTGATGTTTATGCATAAATATGTTTTCTGTGCTTAAGGATGAGGAGAATATGTAATATTTGGGTTGATCCTTTCACATCTGCCTTCCCAGCAGGGAAGGAACAGGACTTTGTGGTGATCCAGGACACAGTGGGGAAGATGAAAGTCAAAGGGTGGGAATGTTGCTGGTGGGAAAGGGAGGAAAGCTTGTGGGCATCAGCAGAGAATTCCCAAATCCCAGTAAATTTCTGAGGGAAGGAGTTGACACCTCCCACTGTCCCTGGTGCTCCAAGCCCCATCCACCCTGGCTTTGGACATTTCCAGGGATCCATGGGCAGCCACAGCTGCTCTGGGCACCAGTGCCAGGGCCTGCCCACCCTCACAGGGAAGGATTTTTCCTGATAACCCATCTCAACCTCATCTCTTTCCATGTTTCTTCCCTGTTTGGCAGCTTTCCTTGGTGTTTCAAAAAGCAGGAAATAATTAATGGCCTAGAAAATAAAACTCAAAAGTTTGGAAATGCCAGAGAAGGCAGAACTTTGACTTTGGGGAGCCCAAGCACTGTGTGATTGAACCATCTCTCAGTTACCTCCATGGCACCTGTTGCTGAGCTGCAGATATTGTCAGGAACAGGTAAAATGAATTTCCCCGGCTTCTAATCCACCTGGAATGTGGCAATTAGCAGGGTTTGGGCTGAGTCCCGCATTCCTGGGGGATTACCGGCCCTTTGCTGCGCCTCATTAGCATTTACAGCCCTGGCAGATGCCACGCCCCAGCTCGGATTTACATATGGGATTAAAACAAAGCCGTGGTGCCCGAAAAGCTTCGTCAGAGGGGCGGCTTCTGCCAGCAGAGGCACGCAGGTTTTGTCTTGTCTCACCCGGGCTTTCATGTGGGAGCTGCTGCTGCTGCTTCCCTCAAAACCCTGAAACTGCAGCTCGGACCAAGCCAAGCCCTGGGCAGCACTGGAAACCTCCGAGGGGAAAATGAGGCTCGGTTCCCATTTGTTTTGCATCTCAAAGAGTGCCTTGGTTTGAACAGACGGGTGTCTGCTAAGGAAGGCAGGAGCATCCTGTGAAATTGAGAATGGAAACGCCCTCTCTCCAGAATTACTAAAATTCTGAAATTAAGGGGCTCTCAGGCAAAGATAGGGGAATAGGGATAACATTTTCTTTTATTAGGAAAATTAAAATACTGTGTTTTATTAGGAAAATTAAAATACAAACACAATAGTATAAACAAACGAAAATAAAACCACTGACAGAGTCAGAATTCATCCTCACACCCTGTGTGTGTCAGGGTGGTGGCACAGCCCCATGCCATGGTGGCTCAGCCCTCCTGCAGTGCCAGCTGTGGCTCTGCTGCAGCAGGGATCCTGCACAAGGGGGGAGCTTTCCTCTGCAGCTCCAGGGCTGCTGGAGATGGGCCTGGGCTCCTCTGGAAAGGCAGTGGGCAGAGGCTGCTGTGCTGTCCCAAAGCTCAGATTGTACCCAGCTAGGAATGCTTGACTCCTCCCCTGGGCGGAGCATCTCCCCATGGGATGATGGAATTTGATCAGCCATGGGCAGCAGATAATTAATAATTAATGGCCCATGAACAGCAGACATCTGGAGGGAAAATTGGTTGGAAGAGATAACGAAAACTGCCCAGTGAATAGAGATAACTGCCCCACCTCTGACAGATGGGGACAGAACACACAGCCCCAGCCACACCTTGCATTTCCAACCCAAGAAAAGGAGTCAAAATCCACTTGTCTTCCAGGAGGTTGCAGTGCTCTAGCGTCACAGTAAAACTCGTTTTAAAGTCTGTTAAGTTCACCACATGAAAGTGGTTTCCAAGCAGATTTCCCAATTAAATCCCTGCCTACTCTAAGTGGCTCCAACTCTACCTGCTGCCTTTTGGAAATGAGCATCTCCTCCTCCAGCCTGTGCCCCGCGTTGGGGAAGGAAGAACAGCTTGATAATAATATTCTGCATTTTGAAATAATGACTTAATTTGGTGCTTTCCCTCGCCGGGTGAGTTCTGCAATGATTATCTTACAACTGAGCCCTATTCAGGTTTCAATTTCTATTAAATAAGCTAAATCGACAGCATTAAACAGTTGCCTGTTTATTCTTTTTAGCAGGAAATGAATTTAAAAGAGACGCAGCCACCCGTGAAGAGCTGATGAAAGCAACGATTGATGGGAGGGAGGAGGTGGTTTCTCACCAAAACCTTAAAAAAACAAACAAACTGGGCATAAAAATAAAAAATAATCACTTTTAAAATGGGGGAGATTTAGCTATGAGCATTTCTCTCTCTTTCCCTACTGGTAAACCATGGTGAGCAGAGGGAATGCCATGAGGGAGAAAGAGAAATGAAAATGTGATCCTATAAATATTTAATTCTATAAGGAGAAATAAGTTAAGTTTGGGGGAAAAAGGGGGCTATGGTGGTAGGAAAAGCCCCATTCCAGGGTGGTATGCATGGTGGAGCTTTTTACTCACAGGTTTTTGGTTGAGATTTGCTTTGGTGGGGGGAGCCTGGAGCAGCCCCAGGTGGGTGATCTCCCATGGGACTGTGGTTCAAGAGGCTGGAAAAGCCTCATCCGTGTGTGCTCCTGCACAGGGATTTCTCCTTGGATTTCTCTTCCCTCCACATTCCTTCCCCTTCTGTCCCCTCTCAGCACCAGCTCCTGCTCCAGCTCTCTGTCCCAGTTTCCATCTTCTCTTCCTTCTTTAGAAAGGTGGAGAGCCCTGCATTCAGCTGCTCCTATCCCACAAAACAGATCATGGGAGGAGAGGCTTTTCCTTCTTCCTTCCACCCCACGTCAGTTTATTTACAAAGCAATAGGCCTGAATAGGAATGGGAGCCTATTTACATCTGCCACACTGGAGGAATTATCTGGGATCTCTTTATCCTTAGGCAAAGATAATGTTAGAGCCCTTGCCAGGAAAGGGTCAGCTTTGGAACATTATTGTGACTGTGAGTAGGATTCAGCTCCAGTGGCTGTTCATTCTGCAGGGCTGATAAGAGAGTGATGCAGCTGCCCTGGAGTGGGTCCCCCAGGTGGGAATGGGTTCCCACCTGCAGCCTCCTCCAGAGGTACAGGGATGTGTCCTGCCTGTGCCTGAGCTGCAGCTCCTTTCTTTTGTTGGTTCCTCCTCCCAGGATCTATTCCTTGGTGCTTCAGCTTCCAAGGAAACCATTGCTGTGAGTTTTTCCCTAGTTTCCTTTTCCTTTCATGGCCTATCAGCTCTGGCAAGCAAATATTTTGGAACCATTTCCATTTCCAGACATCCACCATCCCAAGCCCAGACTCTGAGCCCAGACCCACAGCCCTTCCCAGTGCCTGGAACCAACATTCCCTGGAGAGCGTGGCAGAAGATCCAGCTGGGATTTATCCTGAACATTCAAAGGCATAATCAAGGATCACTTGATATCAGTGATCTGGGGATGCACAGCCCAAAATGAGTGTGGAGGGTCCAAAGAAGGGGTGGGAGAGGTGCAGTGTTTGGGACTGCATGGCCAGAACATTCCTGGAAGGGCTGGACAGCAGCTCCAGCACAGCAGGAGGAAAATGCAGGCAGGAAGGTCTGCAGGACATCAGGAGTGCAGCCAGGCTGCTCAGGGAGCCTTTGGCTCACCCTCACTGACAAACCCAGGCTGAAGCTGCCACCTTGGCACATCCTCCCAGGCAGGGCAAGGACCTGGCTGGGAGCTCTGTGAGGGAAAATCTCAGTGATCTCCCAGGGAGGATCTGACTCTTAGGCAAACTGCATCCCAAACAGCATAAACACCCCCAGACGTGGGGAAAACCAGGTGGGTCGAGGCCTCCTGCCTTTGGCCCCACTCCTTCAGAGATTCCAGATTCTCCTTTGAAATCACTGGATGCGAATTTGATCCCTGTGCTGAAAGGGGAAGAATTACAGCTTTCACATTCATGCACAATTTACCTTTCTATTTTCCTTTATTATCTGGGGGATATGGGGTAAATCAGGCTCCCCTGGTGGGGCTCAGGGTTCTGATTCGATTTGTGGGGTCCCGTTAGTAGCAGGGCAGTAAATTACTGCTACTTTGTTTGAAAATTTTTTTAGCCACAGTACATTAGCTCCTTTTGTTTGCTTTTCCACTGACGGAGTGCACGTTTTTATTTGAGAATTTGTGTTTCTTGAATGTCTCATTTATAAATAATACAAGGTGTGAAATTTGAAGGTCACAGAACACAGCCTGAAAATGAAACCGCCCTAAGTAACTTTGGGCTTTCATGGCAAAAATCCTCCACAAAAAGCTGCACTTACGTCAAATTCTTTGTATAATCTGAG